AAAACAAAAAAGATATGACATAAAGAAAACAAACAACAACATGGGAAAAGTAAGTCCTTTCTTATGAAATTAAATGTAAATGGATTACACTCACCAATTAAAAGGCAGAGAGGGCAGAATAGATTATAAAAAATGATGATCTATATTATGTCTAAAAGAGACTTGCTTTACATCCAAAGACACAAAAAGTTAGAAATTAAAAGGATAAAAATGGTATTCTACGCAAACAATTACCCAAAAGAGAGCTGGGGTAGTTACCCTAATATCAGACAAAACAGACTTTACATTAAAAATTGTTACAAGACACAAAAATAGGATTTTGTACTGATAAAACGATTAATCCATGAAGAGGATATAACAATTATGAACATATACACATCTGACAACAGAGCCCTAAAACACATGAAGCAAAAAAATGACAGATTTCAATGGAGAAATAGATAGTTCCACAGTAACAGCTGGAGACTTCAATACTCCACTTCTGATAGCCATAGAAAAACTGGACAAAAGACTGATAAGGAAATGGAGGACTTGAACAACAAAACCAGCTAGACCTAACACAATAGAGAACACTCCAAACAGCAACAGAATACACATTCTTCTTAAATGCACATAAAATTCTCAAGGACAGATCATATGCAAGGTCATAAATGAAGGATTGAAATAATACAAAGTATATTCTCTGGTCACAATGGAGTAAAACCAGAAATCAATAACAAGGAAAGGTGGGGAATTCACAGGTAGAAATTAAACAACACTGTCCTAAACACCCAATGGTCAAAAAAGAAACCAGCAAACACTTTGAATGAAAAAGAAGACAAAACATGCCAAAACTTAACGGCATGCAATGAAGGCAGAGCTTATCTACAAAAGCAAGGCTCAAAGACACATTTATAGCTACAAATGCCTACATTAAAGAATAATCCCAAATGAATAACCTAACTTTGAATCATATGAGAAAAAAAAAAAAAAAACTCCAAAGCAAGCAGAAGTAATAATGTAGATTCAATGGAGATAACATGAACTACAGAAACCGACTCAAGAGGAAACAAAATCTAGACTTATAAGAAGACATTGAATCAGTAATGAAAAAAAAAATTTCCCCAAATAAAAACACACGATCAGATGGCTTTACTGGTGAATTCTACCAAACATTTAAAGAATTAACATCAATCATTAACGTTAATCCTTCTCAAACTCATTATCCAAAAACAAGGGGTGGGAAAACTTCCTTGTTCTATAAGGCCAGTAGTACCCTGATACTAAAGGCAGTAAAGACATCACAAAAAAACTGTAGACCAATATTCCCTGTGAATACAGACGTAAAAAGTCCTCTTCAAATTCTAATAAACAATCCTGCAGCATATGAACAGAATTTTATGATCAAGTGGTATTTATCTCAGGAATGTAAAGTTGGTTCAAAATATGATTATCAATAAATATATACCATATTAACAGATTAAAAGAAAAAAACAGGCCAGGCATGATGGCTCACTCCTGTAATCCCAGCACTTTGGGAGACCGAGAGGGGTGGATCACCTGAGGTCAGGGGTTCGAGACCAGCCTGGCCAACATGGTAAAACCCTGTCTCTACTAAAAATCCAAAAAATAGCTGGGTGTGGTGGCAGGCACCTGTAATCCCACCTACTTGGGAGGCTGAAGCAGGAGAATCAGTTGAATCCAGAAGGCAGAGGTTGCAGTGAGCTGAGATCACGCCATTGCACTCCAGCCTGGGCAACAAGAGCCAAACTCTGTCTCAAAAAAAAAAAAAAAAAAAAAAAGGAAAGAAAAAAGAAAAAAAATAGTAATCTCAATAGATGTTGAAGAATTTGGCAAATACCAAAACGCTTTCATGACAAAAATACTCATCAAAATAGAAAAAGAAGGGAATTTCCTCAACATGAAATCCTCAGATCCTTAAAAATCCAAAAGAAAATAGTTAATAAATTCAGCAAAGCTGCAAGATACAAGTATGTAAAAATTATTTATGTACCTATACATTAGCAATGAATAATCCAAACATGAAATTAAGAAAGAGGACTGCACATATGATAGTATTAAAAACAATAAAATATTTACTAAAAATTCATGAAATCTCAAGGGACACCGAAGAGCCAAAATGATTTTGAAAAAAGAACTAAGTTACAGGTTTCACACTACCTGCTTTCAAAACTCATAAAGATACAGTAAATCAAAACAGTGCAGTATTGGCATAAAGAGAGACATATAGACTAACATAATAGAGAGCACAGATAAAAACCCTCACATATATGGCTAAACGATTTTTGGCAAGAGTGCCAAGAACATTCACTGGGGAAAAAACAAAGTCTTTTCAACAAATGGTGTTGAGAAAATGGGATAGTCACATGCAAAAGAATGAAGGTGAACCCTTATCTTACACCATACACAAAAATTAACTCAAAATGGATCAAAGATCTAAAAGTAAAAGTTAAAATTATTAAACTCTTAAGAAGAAAACTTTCATGACACTGGATTTGGCAAATATTTCTAAGATATGACATCGAAAGCACAAGAAACAAACAAACAAACAAAAAAACAGCTACATTGAACTACAACAAAATTTAAAACTTCTGTATGTCAGAAGACACAGTCAGCAGAATGACTGTTGTAAAAGAGGCAACCTACAAAATGGGAGAAAATATTTGCAGATCATGTATCTAATAAGAGATCAATATCCAGAATATATAGAAAATCCCTACAACTCAAAAACTTAAAAATCAAACAGCCAGATTTAAAATGGCCAAATGACTTGAAAACACATTTTTCAAAAGAAGATATACAAATGGTTAAATAAGCACATAAAAAGATGTGCAACATGAATAACCACTAGGGAAATGCAAATCAAAACCACAATGATACTAACTCACACCCAATAGGATGGCTAGCTTATATATTAAAAAATAGAAAATAAGTGTTGGCAAGGATGCAATAAAATTGAAACCCTTGTGAACTGCTGGTGCAAATATAAACTAAAGCAGTAACTGTGGAAAAAAGTAGGAAGGTTGGAGGAACCCTTATACACTGCTGACGGGAATGCAAAATGGTGCAGGTACTATGAAATAGTCTGGCAGTTCCTCAATAAGCTAATCACAGAATTACCATACGGCCCAGCATTTCCATTCCTAGATATATACCCAAAAGAACTGCAGACAGGTGTACACAAATGTTCTATATCAGTTCTATTCACAATAACCAAAAAGTGGAAACAACCCAAATCAATGAATGAATGGATAAACAAAATGTGGTATATACATGCAATGGAGTAATACTCAGCTATAAAAAGCAACGAAGTATTGATACATGTTATGCCATGGATGAATATTCAAAACATTAAGTCTAAGAGAGAGAAACCTGATACCAAGGTCATATATTAAATGATTCCATTTATATGAAACAACCAGAATAGGAAAATCCTCAGAGACAGAAAATAGATTACTGGTTGCCAGGGGCTGGTGAGAAGAGGGAACAGAGAGTCACTGCTTAATGGGTACAGGGTTTCCACTGGGTTAATAAAAAATTTCTGGAAACAGATAGTGGTGATGGTTGTAAAACACTGTGAATATACTCAATGCCACAGAATCGTATACTTGAAAATGATCAAAACTGTAAACTTTATGTCATGTGTATTTTACTACACACACACAAACCCTCTCCTGGATCCATTTCTCTGTCTCCCCTATGGAACAAAAGCCTTACTCTGTGTCATTCCCAATTCCTCACTTACTTTTAAAAAAGCATATTCTACTGTTTATATACGTAAACACTACCTTTTCTCAATGATGAGAAATAATATTTATAATAAATTGTCTGAACATCTCATGCCTCCCTTCCTCTAGACCAGTGGTCTCCAATTTCTTTTGATCATGTAATCCTACTGACAAAATGTTTTCTTAGCACAAATTGCCAAAATAGGTATTTATTTATATGTTATGTCACTACTGTGCTTATAAAATATATACAAAAATATAACGTTTAAAAAGTTGAGAAAGATGAATATAAATTCAAATATTTTTCATTCCATACTCCACTGAACTGTTTTGCAAGCATCCTTCTTTGGAGAGCACATCTATCGATACTTGAAATTTTCCTCTTCGGTTAAAGCAATGGCCTACATTTATTTACCCCTTGAGATCTCCCTTATTAACACCCTAAACTAAGGAATGCGATAATGGCCTTACAGGAGGATACTCTTTGTTGCACTGTGGTGCCTTCTTTAAGAAGACAGATGAGATAAATTTATCTAAGGCCTCTGTATCAGAAATATCTGTAATGTTTCTAAAATTTTTGTTCTCTTTTTATATTAAAAAATGAATGTAACCGATCACAAAATTCTAGTAACACTAAGTGCTAGAAAACATAAAGCCAAATTTGTAGCTCTTTTCTAGCGACCACATCCACAAGGCTTATTTATCTTCCTTCTGGCTTTGATTTGTCTTTCCATTATTCACATTTCCTTATTTACTCATTTTTTAAAAATCATATTGTAGCTCAACCCAGCTTCAATTTTTTAAATCAACTCAATTCTTCGATTACAAAAAAAAAAAAAAAAAACCAACCTGTATTATTTATGTGTTTGTCTGTGTGTGTTTAAAAGAACCTCAAATATATTTCTTGAAAGACAGAGAGGAATGAATTTAAAAAAAAAAAAACCCAAATAAACATAAACCCAGCAATATTGTTCAGGATAGAGATCATTCTAACCTCAAAGCTCCCCCATTTCAGGGGTAAAGTTTACAGATTCTGAAGGATGTAGCAGCAAAGCCCTTCATTCAAAAGGTAATTCGTAAATGAATGTTGATGAAAATAATGACAACTCACAATAGCACTGTACTACACTTTCTCACTCTTTTCCAGTTGGTAAGAAATGGTATAGAGAGGAAAGGGCAAATGGCTTGTTTTTTTCACCTGTATGCAAAGCTTAACTAGAAAGTCCATGAAGAGGGCAGTCACATTGCCAGATGGAATTTGTAGCCATGTACCTGGATGCGTCTCCTTCTGGTGTGCTCAGAAGTCACTAGGGGATGACCTGTATTCAATACTTTCTTGCTGTGTTTGCTCCGCTTCTCAAGGTATCTCCTCTGTTGGTTGGTGATGCTGCTATATAATTTAATTCGTCTGGGTGACAAGCATACTCTTTCATGGCCAAAAGCTTGAATCAACCGGGCAGTGTCAATAGTGGAAACAGAGCTACTCCTTTCGTGCAGAGCCACTTCTCTATCTGTTTGGGTCAATATATCTGATTCGACAGTAGAAGTGGTGCTGGAAAGGATGTTGGTGGCAGTATCTGTGAGCAGCTCACTCTCCTCTGAGGGCCGACAATCCGAAGAAGTGTTGCTTATATAATTAAAACCTGGCTGTTTACTCAGAATATATTTATCAAATTTAATCTGTTCAATTTTAATTTGATTAGACCTCCCAGCTCCATGATGAGAAAGCACCTTGGTTTTTTTAAGCTCGCCTGTGTTTTTATGGCTTTTCTCTAGGCTTTTAAACCGCTTCTTTTTCTGCAGCTTGTTTCTCTGCTGTTGTCTACCACTCCATTCCTTCACATCTCGTTCCCCTCTGCTATCATCATGTGTACTTTCTGAGACCTGCAGGGAATGCGTGATTGGATTCTGAAGAATTTTAGCCAAACGATCAAGTCGGTCCACCAAGGATAGTTCTTTCCTGTCACCCAACTCGGGCTGTCTCTGTTGCCTCTGTCGCTCCCGATACTTGTTCCACAGTTCATTCAAACTCACAGTGTGTTGAGTTGTTTGCTCTGGGGTGACCTTCTGATCCCTTTTTGGATCATTAATTTGTCCACTATATTCTGGATAATCTCTAGCTTGACTTTTAGTAGTATCTGTCACCCCTTTGTTTCCCAAATTCACATTGATGCTGAGGCTCTTTATTCTGGTATAATCTGTCTTAGTCTTGTCCATGTTTTGATAAGGAAGAGGAAGACAAATGTGTTCTCTCTGTTTGTCTGGATGATGCTGAAAGAAATCTTTCCAAGAATGTCTCATGAAAACACTCCTTCCCAAAGATTCATGGCAAATATCTTGATCACTTGGTAGGTGTACGGGATGATGAATGTAAAACTTCGCCGACCTGAAGACAGAATGGGTAGTATTTTCAAATTCTGAATGACATTCAGACTCTGAAAAAGAGAAAAAAAAAGATTTTGAAAGAACTTAAAAATATTAGCATTCTGTTTAGAAATACTATTCACAATTCTTTAGATATATAACAAAGACTAAAGGGAAGAACAGTTTATATAAGGTATCAGAAAATTCAATGCCTGCACAAAAGACTCATGCCTTGTTCTTAGCAGCCTCGCTGGTACAGTAAAAGTTTAAGAGACATGAATTTTGGCCTGGGCTCTGCCACTGACCGGCTATGTGACCTTGAGGAAGGCACTTCAGTTCTCCAGATCATAAAAGCAACTGCTATATGTATTTACCACCTGTTCTGTGTAAGGTGTTATGATATAAGCTCTGTATCTGTTTTTTTAATTAATCCTGCCATTAAACCTGAGAGATAGATACTGGTAATCCCATATTCAGCTAAGAAACCTGACACTTCATTTTCATAATCAGTAATTAAATGGATAGTTTTTTTTAAAAACCCTTTTTACATGTTTTACAGCCTTTTGAAATTCCTTTTCTGTGGACCATCTTGACTTTTTTCCAAATTTTTTTTATTGTGGTAAAAAACACATAAAATGTACCACTCTCCATCTTCACTTTTTGACAACCACCACTTTATACAAAAAAAGGGCATTTTTAGATGTAGTATCTTACAATTATCTATGGTTTGAATGTTTGTGTCCCTCTAAAATTCATGTTGAAACATAATCCCCAATACAATAGTATTAGGCAGGAGGTGTTTAGGTCATGAAGGCTCCACCTTCATGAATGGGATTAGTGCCCTTATAAAAGGGCCTGAAGGATCCTGTTTGGCCTTTCCCTGCCTTCCACCACGTGAGGACAAAGCAACAAGACACCATTTTGGGCTCTCACCAGACACCCAATCTGCTGGTGCCTTGATCTTAGATCTGTAGAATTTTGTTACAGTGGCAGGAAAGAGCTAAGACACAATCATAAGCCCTAATTCTAATCTCCACTATGACATCAAAACACTGTTTTAGAGTTCTACATCATGGGCAGAAACAAAGATACACACATGCAATGATGGGATCCTTTTCACCCACACTATAGATTACTGGCAAGCAGAGTTTTCATGAAATACTCTAGGAATCCCTACGGATTTCCCCTGAGTAGAGTGGGATACACAGGGCCTGCATTTATACCTAAAGTAAGTAGACTATACAATTTTAGAATTTTCTAGCAACATTTAAAAATTGGGAGATTTCATTTAGATACTACAGGTTCTTGAGATTGCAGTTTCTGCACTGAACAAATACAAACAAATATATAATTCTAAATTAGTGGCTACAAAGAACAAAAACAAGGTGATGTAAGAGAAATTTAACTGGGAAATGGTAGCTAGAGAAGATTTCTCTGAGGAGCATGAGATGTGAAGTAAAAATGAGAGCTAAACAAACAAACAGGCAGAAGAACATTCTGGGCTGAGAGATCACTTTCTGTGGATGTCCTGAGTCAGCTGCCACCTATGCCAATCCACCTGTTCCCACAACCCTTCTGGATACAGAGACAGCACCACCTCTCCCATTCTTTTAAAGGCAAGTTCCTCCACTGCTGCTCTGGAGCCCAACTCATCTTCCCTTCCAGACCTTGCTTCCTTTCCCTATCATATCTCTCTTCTATCTTTCAGGTTCTCCCTCTCTACTGGATCATTTCCAATGGCTTGAAAAAATCATTTAGTATGTACGTTTAGAAAATCCTCACATCTTCCTACAGGTACTGGCCCATTTCTCTGCTCCTCCTCATAGCCAAGCTTCTAAAGAGGAACCTATTTTCCTCTCTTTTACCTCTCTCCCTACCCCAATTCACTCTTCAAATTACTGCAGAGTACAGCCATACTCCTGGACTAAAACTGCTCTTGCTAATATGATCAATGACCTCAATGTATGGCCAATTCCAGGAAATGTTCTCATTCTATATTCTCTTTCTAGGTAATCTCATCTCTCCCTCTGGCTTTTAGTACCATTTTCATGCTGTTACCTGTTTTCAACTTTACATTTCAAGCTATGATTTCTCTTGAGTTCCAACTAATATACATGATATATCCACTTGGATGTCACAGCCATCTAACTGAGCTCTATTCTAGCCTCCTTGACAATTGTACCTCCCCTGGTCTTCCACATCTCTGTAACTGGCACATCATCCTACTGCCCAAGCCAAAATCTGGGAGTTATTCTTGATAGTTCCAACTCCCTTCTCTTCCTGCTCCTGTCATTAATCCTTCACCAAACAATCACACATCTATTTCTATTTCCTGTCACAATACTGCAAGTCTCTAATAGGTCTCCTGTCCCTTCTTGTACTTTTCCAATCTATTCTTCAAATAGTGGTCAAAGTAATCTTTTAAAAATGTAAACTGGACTTGTCACTTTCTATTTAGCAACTTTCAATGACCTTCTCTTACACTGAGAACAAAGCCCAAACTCCTTAACAAGAAGTACAAGTATACATAACTTTTCTTCCCCATTTTGTACCACTCTTCCTGGTAACTATACTTCAGCCATGCTGGCCTTTCCCCTGTTTCATCAAATAGCATGAGCAAAAGCATAAAAGTAGGAAAGCACTGAGGCAATAAGGGAGAGTATAAATATTCAGTATGTATGGCTTATTTCATTTATAAAGCAGAGGAAAGTAAGGTACCAAAGGTTATTTGGGGCCAAATTCTACAAGGTCTGGAACATTAGGCCAAGGACTTTAAATTTTATTCTTAAAAGAAATGAAGAGCCACTATACCATTTTGAACAGGGGAGTAACATAATTATGGCTGTATTTCAGGAAGGATACCTTGGCAACAGGATAAATAAAGCAAAAATTTGAAGGGCTATCTAGAATTCATTAAAGCAGTAAGTAAAACAATAAGGAAATAGGTAACATTGCTCTAAAATGTTTATTTCCTAATATCAGTATTTTCAATGAACATAGTCCTCCCAGTCTGGGATTGAAGTAAAATATAGCGAGAATAGTAGAAAATAAGCAAGCTGAAGCCTGGGCACGGTGGCTCACACCTGTAATCCCAGCACTTTGGAAGGCCAATGGGGGTGGTTTACTTGAGGTCAGGAGTTCAAGACCAGCTTGGCCAACATGTTGAAATCCCATCTCTACTAAAAATACAAAAATTAGCCAGGTGTGGTGGTGCACACCTGCAATCCCAGCTACTGGGGTGGCTGAGGCAGGAGAATTGCTTGAACCCAGCAGGTGGAGGGTGCAGTGAGTCAAGATTGTGCCACTGCACTCCAGCCTGGGCGACACAGTGAGACTTCATCTCAAAAAAAAAGAAAAAGAAAAAAAAAGAAAAAAAAAAGAAAAAGCAGCAGCAGCAAGCTGAATTCCTTAAGCATAAAGGGCTTTATGGAACAACAGGATTAGATAATCACCATCATCTCATGGCACTTTGTTAAGAGTAAAGGTCAAATAAGTTGAAGTAGTTATTCACTTCTGATAATTGAATTAATTTTATAGATAATATTTGCAAAATTTTCCCCAAATATATAAAAGTACACTGAAAATATGATTTACTGCTTTTCATTTATTTTTAAATATTTCTTTCATACTAGAACTGTAGACTTTTAAAAATTAAACATGCAAAATATTCAAATAATGCAGACAAATTTAATATGAAAAGTAAAGGTCTCCCTGTTATCTCTGAACCTCCTAGTTCCACTTTCTGGTGATAACCAATATTAAACAAGTTTTCTTACAGAAAAATTCCTGCCAAGTAGAGTAAAACTACTTGTTCAAAGCAAGATTTTGTGCATCTGCAAACATTTTATATTAAACTGATTTACTTTACCAAAATTTCACTAAATATTTGGTTGTTTCCAGTAGTTTATTCTTCCAAAGCATGCTGCAGTGAACATTTGTCTGTGTGTTTATGTGTAACTTTATTTTATTTTTCTGGGTACAACTTTATCTGTGTATCTGTAATTCCCTTAAATGGAAGTCTGGGTGAAAAGGGAATATTTATTTCAACGTTAGTTAGATATCATCCAATTGCTCCACACTTTCAAAAATGTTGCAACAAATTTGCACTTCTAATAATAGTCTTATAAGAGTACATTAATGTTTCCCCACGTACTCAACAATACTAGGGATAATCAAATCTTTTCATCTGTGCTATTGTGACAGGTAAAACAAAATCTGTGGTTTAGTACATTCTTTATTGAGATAGTTAAGTATTTCTTCACATCTTTAATGGCCATTTACACTTCTTTTACTATAAACTTTTTGTTCAGGTCCTTTGTTTTCCTTTTAGGCTGTCATTGATTTGTAAAAAGCTCTTTGCATAGCAAGAAAAGTAGACCCTTTTCTCAGTTTCTCAATTTTTAAAAATTGTTTTCTCATTTTTCATTTATAAATTGATTTTGCATCATATTTTCTAACATGAAGACACTTTTAATTTTAATATATACATTTATCAAATCTTTGGCTTTATGACTCCAAGATTTTGTCAGACCTTGACAGTCTTCTGCTCAAATTTATTAGAAAAGTCAGATAACCAGAACTTTTATGATCTCTTTTTTATACTTGGATCTTTTATACTTGGATTTTGGTGACGGGAGTAAAGTAGGGCTACAACTAAAAATTCTCACCATACTCCAAATAGCTAGCAAAGTGTCTTGGCATTATTTGTTGAATAATCCATCTTTTTCCAAATGGAGCTGAAATGGTACCTTTATCATAGAGTAAGTGCCCACTGTATTTAAGTATTTTCACTGATATATCAGTCTCTTGTCCCAGTAGCATTCTTTTACTACTGTCATTTTAATACCCTGTAAAGTGTAATACTGTGATATAATAAATACATATTTTTGCCTTATCCCTAGCTCCTGGCCAGAACTACTAAAACTCTTGTAATTTCCATTTAGGAAAACGTGATAACAGCAATAGGGGCATCTTTTATTATAATATTTGGTTTTCGTACCTGGCTGTTGAAACAGTTCAGGAGTATGTGATAAAGGTTCAAGGAGGGTCTGTTATCAAAACAAGTTACTTTTGATCGCACTTGAGTTTATGTTAATGAGGTGAATTTTGGAACGCCCCTAAGGATGGGAGGCCTGTTTACCAAGGGAACAACCATATGTTTAGAGGGCTGGCAACCCCCCATCTCTGGGGAGGGGACAGGGACTGCAGGTTGAGCCAATCACCAATGGCCAAGGATTTAATCTATATTGCCTATGTAATGGCACCTCCATAAAAACCCTAACAGAGTTTGAAGAGCTTCACATTTGGTGAACACAGGAGAAGCTGGGAGGGTGGCAGGCCCAGAGAGGACATGGAAGCTCTGTGCACCTTCCCTATACCTTGCCCATGTATCTCTTCATTTGGTTGTTCATGCATATCCTTTGAAATAAATTTATAAAATATCAGGAAATGTAAGAAAATGTTCCCTACATTTTCTGAGCCATTTGAGCAAATTACCAAACCTGAGGAGGGGGTCATGGGATTCCCCCCACCAATTTGGAGCTAGTTGGTCAGAAGTATAGGAGGCCAAGCCATGCAAAACCATTCCTAAGTTTTAAATTGCACAGCGTTGTGAGTAGTATGTTGAAACCTCTTGTCATCCTGCTCCATCCCACCCTAGGATGTGAATCCTCCCTCTGTCCAGCATGTCCATACGTTTACACTACCTGCCCCTTAGGCACTTTATAGCTGTCTGGGTTATCAGAGTGACTGTCATGATACTGCAGTACCTGTGTTCAAGTAACCCTAACTGTAGTTAGTAATAGCCCCAAAGCGCAAAAGCAGCAATGCCAGCAAATTGGTTCTGCCAAAGAGAAGCAGTAAAGTGTTTGCTTTAAAAAGATGGAATTTCTTATTTATCATCTATCTATCCACCTGTTTTAATGTCAGAATGCATTAATTTTTTAAAATAAATTTTTAATTTTGGAATAATTTGGATTACAGAAAAACTGTGACAACAGTACAGATGATTCCCTATACTCCATACCCAGTTTCCCCTATTAATGCCTTACATTAATACAATATATTATAATGAATCAATCAGTAAAGTTACATCATTATTAACCAAAGTCCATACTTTATTTGTGTTGCCTTGTTTTGTACATACTGTTCTTTTTCTGTTCCAAGATCCCATCCAAGATACCACATTACATTTAATTATCATGTCTCCTTAGGCTTCTCTTAGGTCTG